CACTAAGAAGAATATATGCAGTGTATTATTTGTTGAAAAATAAAAATAAATAAATAAATAAATAAATCTTTTATTTATTTATTTGGTACAGAGTCCTACTACAAAACTTGGACTCATAGTGATTCTTCTGTCTCAGCCTCCTCGGTGCTGGGATTACAGGTGTGGGCCACCACGCCTGGTTTCAGTGGCCAGCATGGTGCCCGGGGTTCTGCGCCCACAAGGCATGCAGTACCAGGGATACAACTTGGGTCTTTGTGTTTACCATGCAGTTGCTTAGACTGCCAAAAAGTCTCCCCAGCCCCTGAGATACAAATTAAAACAACACTGAGATTCTACCTTACTCCAGAGAGAATATTATGAAAGAAATCAGCTAACAACAAATGCTGATAAGGCTGTAGGATAAAAGGAACCCTTCTCTACTGTTGGTGGGGTGTAGGAATGATGCAACCACTGTGAAAATCAGTGTGGAGATTCCTCAAAAACTACGAGAGATTCCTCCCAGCTCAGCTACTGTCCTTCTTGGTATCTCCCCAAAGGAATTAAATGAATTTGCAGGGCCTGGTGGCACATACCTGTTGTCCTAGCGTGGAGGAGGTGGAGGCAGCAGTGTTACTGCAAGTTTGAGGCCAGCCTGGGTTATAAAGTGAGTTCAAGGGTAGCCAGAAATAGTTAGTGACACCTCTTACAAAGCCCCATAATAAAAAAGAATTATATCATAGTGATATATGCACACCCATGTTTATAGTAGTATAGTTTGTAATAGCTGGTTCTTTTTTAAAAAATATTTTTATGTATTTGGTACAGGGTCTGCAGGGTCTACAGGGTCTTACTACGTAGATTGGACTCGTGGTGATTCTCCTGTTTTCAGCCTCCCAAGCTCTGGGATTATGCCCAGTCTCAATCACTGTCCCAGCATGCCCTGGGAGCAGGCTGGCACGGCATACAGGGGTCAAACCCTGGCTGATGTGCTCTGCCTAAGCAGGTGCTTGAGTCCGCTGAGCTATCTCGCTGGCCCTTGTAATAGCTAATTCTTGGAAACAGCCCAAATGCCCATTAACTGACAAATGGATAAAGAAGACGTGGCTTTTGTGTAGTGCTTTTTGTGGGGCACTACTCCACCATAAACTGGAGACATTTCTAGGTAAATGGGTGCACCTTGAAATCATACTAAAGTAGAATAACTGGGCACTCATGTTCAAATAGCACATGGTTTCTCTGGCCTGGGAAAATGAAGGTGTAATAAGGACCAACACGTGTAGCAGATATGGTGAAATAGGAAGAAAATGTTCCGATGGAGAGGGGGTCTAGGGGGCTTGGAAGGAAGAGAAAAATGAAAATAGAAGGAAAAAACGGAAACAAAACTTTTGTAAATTGAAGGGCTTGGGGCTTGGGAAATAGCCTGGTGGTCTAAGTGCCTGCCTGTCAAGCCAAAGTCCTGAGTTTGATCCCTGGTACTGCATGCTGTGTTGGCCCCAGAACCCCGGGTGAGCAGTATGCCCTGAAACCTGGCATGGTGGTGTACACCTGTAATCCCAGCACTGGGGAAGCTGAGATAGGAGGATCACCATGAGTCCTGAACTGCATATTGAGACCCCATATCAACAACAAGCAGGGCTAGGGAGATGGCTCAGTAGAATAAGTGCTTTCCTGGCAAGCACAAGGTCCTGAGTTCAATTCCCAGTACCGCAAAAACAACAAAACAAAACAAAACAAAAGTCAGATGGGTTGTAGGGAGGGAATAAAAGAATCAAGATATGTCATGTACAGGCACAAATTCCACATGATTTATGTTATCTTTATGTATATGTAGAGTATACTAATAAAGTTAATTTTAAACTAATTGGAATGAAATCATACTAGAGTACAGTGGGCCTCTGACCCGCTATGACTGGTATAAGAAGGAAAGCTGTGTAGACAGTCATGCACACAGGGAGACTATCACGTGAAAATGGGGTCAGAGGTGGAACAACACATGTACAAGCTACACCCAAGGCTGCCTTCCCCAAGCCACAGCAGCTAGAGAAAAGAATGGCATAGTTCTCTTTCACAGTCCTCTGAAGTGATCAACCTTGCTGACACTTTGATCTCAGACTTCTAGTTTCTGAAATTGGGAGAGAATTTATATTTTCCTAAGTCCCCAAGTTTGTGCCATTTTGTTACAGCAGTTGTAGTAAACTAATACAGACTACTTAAAACAGCTTTGTGCCCTTCGCTGGAGATAGCGCACAATGGCCCCTGTGTCACTTTACCTGACAAGGGCACAGACTGTGGGGCCCAACTTAACAGAAGGTTACTCTTGAGTTTAGTCCTAAACCCACCAGCAGGGCCCCTATTCTGTCGCTCCTTGAGGAGTCTGTCCAAAATTGCCTTCTCCCATGACAACGTGAAGTGCTTCATTTCTTATAGTACATGTGACCAATGGTTCAGGTAAAGCCATATCTGTGAAAAGAATTTCTTTCTTTTTAAAAAAAATGTGTTTAGTACAGGGTCTACAGGGCCTCACTATGTAGATTGGACTCACAGTGATCCTCCTGTTTCAGCCTCCCAAGAGCTGGGATTACAGGCGCACATCACCATGCCCAGTCTTTTAGCCATCTCAGCACGCCATTGGTGCAGGGCTGGCCTGGCACACCAAAGGATCAAACTCCTGGCACCTGCGTCTGCCTAAGCAGGCACTTTAATCCACTGAGCTATCTGGCTGGCCCTAAGAATTTCTTTTTTGAGAAGCTAAGAAAGAAGATCCTAAAACTCAGAATTTCTAAATATGTCATACCTTAAATACTCGTTAAAGATCACACACAAAACCACTGTGTGTATAATATTTAATATACAAAAAATGTAATATACATAGACATGTTTGAATACATATATTTTCTTCTTCTTGTGGTGACCAGCTCAGACTGCCCTGGGCGGTGACACCCAGGATTGAACCATAGTCCCTGCACTTGCTTAACCTTGCCCAAGCAGGCACTTTAGACCTCTGAGCTATCTCTCCAGCCCTCATATATTTTCTTAATATAATGATATAGATACATACTCACCCTGAATTTTATCTATACTTAGCATCCTCACTTAAACTGATCTCTGCAGTGTGCATTATAAAAAGATATACTCTTAATGTTCATGTGCTCTGTCTTGATTTAAAACTTTTCTTGGCTAAATTCTTTGGAACTAGGAAAATGTTGAAAGGGTATCCAGATACACATATAAAAGTACTTACCAAGGAACATTTCAATAACAGATGCCTTCATATTGAGAACAACAATCCCCAGAAGTATCTAAATGGCACCCTGGAGAGAAAGAAACAATGACATCATCATATATCAGCCTGGAGTTCTGAATTGGATACAGAAAGTATTGTGGGGAGAGGCTGCATCATTTCGTGCGGTGCCCTAGAGCCTCAGGACACAAGCTTGGGCTTCTTGTCAGCATCCCATGGAGAAGGCAGTGAACTGCTGCTTGGGCACCCAGAGATTCTAGCCCCCGAAAAGCCATTCTTGACACCAGCCTCCAAGGCTTCAGAGATTTGGCTGAGAATTGAAGAGGAAACAACTCCACGATTTTGAGATATGTCCAACTATTCTTCACATTTGGGATTCATCCACATTTATGGTGCTGAGAGAATGTTTTTAGATTACAAATAAATCATTCAATACATATTTATTAAACTCCTATTATATGGCTAAGCTTTGTTAGGAAGAAGGTGATAAAAATCGAATTAAGAAACAGTTCTCGCTCTTAAATGACTTACAGCTTCATAGAGGCGTGAAAACATGCGTGGAGAAAAATAACCCCCATGTGAGAGAGTGTAAGAATTTTCAGGCCTCAGGAGAGAGTGGAAAGGGGAAGTTTACAGAGTGTTGGCTCTCACACTTTCTTGCGTATTAACATCATCTGGGGATTTTAGAAAGTACTGAGATCCAGGGTGCCCTGAGACCAATTCAACCAGAATCTCTCAGGGGTGGGGCCGGGGTATTAGGCTTTCTAAAAAACTCCTCCAATAGTTCCACCATGCAAACAGGTTGAAGAACTATCAGTTCAGAGCAAGGCTTCTCTTAATGTGCATGCTGATCCCCTGGGAGTCTTGTGAAAAATACAGATTTTAAACCAGTAGGTCTGGGGAAGTTTTAGACTCCCTAGAGGACCAGGACTTTTAAAGACAAGGAAGAGATGATGTCTACCATGAGAATAAGAGAAAGTCTCATAGAAGGTAAGACATTGGTTCAAGAATGAAGTGTGAACAGAATTTAGACAGGTAAAAATAGGAAGAAGGGATACTGGGGAGCAGGGATCAGCATCAGTGGAGGCAGGGATTAGAAATCACCTTGCATGTGAAAATGGTGCTGATCTGTAAGGATACCCCTACTCTTTCAGCTTTAAGGAAACTTTCAAGGTTTTACTAACACTGCCATTAATTGAGCATGTACTATATACTGTGTGCTCTATTTTGTTTTGAAGGGGCTTGCAGGTTAGCCCAGTTGTTTAAAACGCCTGCTTGAGCAAACCCAGTCAGGCGTAGTGGACCGCAGTTTGATCCCCAGCTCCCCATGCTGCACCAGACTAGCCCTTGAGGCAGCCTGAGCCAGCCAAAACCAAAGAAAACAATCCTTCTCTATTTTGTCTTGAATCCTTACACTAAGCCATCATGATAGGTTTGATGATCTTCACTGAATAGAGAAGGAAGCCAAGACTTACAATATTAAAGGTTATAACAGGGAAACAAAGCATGGAGCATACTTGGAAAAGTAGGCGGAGGAGGTGGGCAGGCTCTTCCCTGGGTGCAGATAGTAAAGGGGAAGCAGCCTAGAGGATCCTTAAATTCGGCCTGCTCTTTGCTACCCTTATTCATTAGAAATTTTAAACAGTGTTAATGATAAATAAAACACTCCTCTCTGAGCAGATGGCTCCCCTCCTCGCAGGCATGGCTGTGTGGCCTAAAGTGACATTCATAACCCTACACTGCGACTCCTGGTGGTGTGCTGGGATGACTTTTGTGGTAAAAAGTGACTTTTATGGTGTAAATCCTTCTACAATGGCTGATGTTAAAGCCACCGAAGTGATGTCATTGAGTGAGAAATTTGGAAAGTGCTAAGAGGGAACTGGGTCCAGCCAGTTCCAGAACTATCTTGTAACAATATTTAGATAAGGCACTGGGAAGAGTTTCTTAACAAAAATTGATTACTGAATTATGGTTGAAGAACTAATAAAATTACTGCACTTGATATAGTGAATCAAAATCAAACTGCTGTGCATATGAAAACTTTATTACAAACTAATTAGGCACAAAGCATAACCCCCAGTCACACTGGGTCACTTAACAACTTAAATTAAATTGTTAATATCCAGTAACAATTGTAATGTGTTAAGCTTCCCAATGAAGGTGGGTAATCACTGGTTAAATAATAGACAAGTAGTAATCTTTAATTTCAAGATAAAAATAAAATTATACATATAATCTACCTGGCAACTTGATGCTTAAATATCTAGGTTATATTTTGGCAATAGTGGGCTGGGGATGTAGTTCAACAAACATGGCTTGACTGGCAAGTGCAAGGTCCTGAGTCTGATTCTCAATACAAAACAACAACAACAGCAAATAGGAAATAGTGTGATACAAGTAATTTTTCTCTTTGATTCATTTGAGAAACTGTGGAACAATCTACATGGCTTCAGGTCTAGATATGGAACTTTCCTTTGGGCTATCTGCAGAAGGCCAATGTCCCTTGCTGGCCCCACACAGTTGGCCTCACTGGAGGACTGTCACCATTGAGGCTCCATCTAACCATCCTAACTGCTTTTTTCCCTCACATTTTCTGTGCCAACCCCCTCAACTCTCCCTTCACACCCTACCCCGCTTGCTCTGAGCATTCCTCATCCTCTTCAGCACTGTGTGGGGTCCAGGTCAGATCCTGAGCCACCCACCTGGACAACTGTACTTCCTCCCCCCACCCTAGTCCATACAACAGCAAATATGCTTTTAGTCAAAGTAAATCAATTCCTGGCACCCTTCTACTCATGCCCAACAGGGCTCCCGCCCTTACTAAGAATATAAATCCGTCTTTATGGGTAGCTCAAGACCCTGCTCTACTTGAATGGATCACCACTGGTCTCTCTAACTTCATTAACCACTATCCTCCCCCTCCCTGACTAAACCCCAGCCATCCTGGCCTTTTGGCCATTTCTAGAACTTCTGGGCACCACAGGTTGTCTGCACTTGTATTTCTCCTGTTTGTCCTGACTGGCTGTCCTTTCCATAGCTGAGCTATGGCATCCTCCCTCATGCTTCCAATTAATTTGCTTGTCACCTTCACATGAGCTGTTTTCCCACCACCCAATTTCAAGTTGTACTCCCTTCTACCCCATCCTTTTCCTACTGTCCTTTTCTCTGAGTCACTCAGCACCTTGATGTACTCTATGGTTTACTAACTTCATGTGACCACTACAGGTTTATCAGGCACTATGGACATGACCTTTGCATGCTGGGATAGTTGCATAACAACCCATGGGGTTCCGCCCCCTCCCCTTCCAAGCCCAGAGGCAGTGCCCAAGTTGACTCAGCGGCGGTGGAGCCTGATTGGTCTGCTCTCTTGAGAGCCCAGTGATGGAAAGCTTCATTCTCACAATGGCAAAGTCTCTCCTGCTTGTTTCATTGACTCATATGTTAAAAATGTAAGTGCACTGTTTGAAACCTCATCTTTCCCCTCCAGGAGGCTGGGTCTGGGGAGGGTGGCCCGCGCCCTTTGGCAGCTCTTCCAGGTAGTTCAATGTCATGGGCTGCTGCGGAGTTTAGCGATGCCAGAGCCTTAATGCCTCCTGAACTCCCATTAAGCTGGTACCACACCTAAGCTGAGCTCAGACTTCTGATTGTCCTGCCTCAGCCTCCGCGAGTGCTGGGATTGCAATTTATATCACCATGCCTCACTCATGATGCCCATTTTTAAAAGGTAAGGAAATTGCACCTTGGAGTGGGTGAGTGACGCATTCAAGGTCATAGACAAAGTCAAGTCCATTTTCACAACTCCTGATCTTGTACAGCTATTTGGTGTCTACAGAGTAATCTGCAAGGTGCATCTTACCTAGACTTCAAAAAGCAAAATGATACAATGGAGTGTTGCTCAACCATAATGAAGGGAACACTAGGATCATCTGTAGAAAAATGAATACACTTTGAGTCTGTAATGCTAAGTAAAATAAATCATATATATATGACATATATATATATCGCATAAATAAATATCACCTGGTTTTTCTTATATGAGAAACTTGAAGTACAAATAATTTGAAGATCAAAGTAAAAGAAAGACGATAAAAATAACCCAGGAAGATAGACTTTACAGTGATGTGAAAGAGGTTTGGGGACAGAGGGCCCTGGGAGGGAAGGGAGAAGAGAAAGTAAAAGAGGCCAAGGAGTGAAATGTGTGTTTACCAGTGAATGTGTTTATTATGAATTGAAACATACTAATAAAAAAGTTAAAAATAAAATAAAGTAAAATGCAATTTGTCTTAGATCTCTCTATTAGAAGAGTGCTGAAGTTTACAGGTAAGAGGACACATTGCTCATGAAAGATGGAAGAGAGAAATAAATTTTGTCAAAGATTTGGAGAAGACTAAAAAAGCAAATGAAAAAATAATTTGCACGGGAAGGGGGAAAACATCATAGTTCCCTGTCTAATTTTTTTACCCTGGACATTTTTTAACAACTCAGAAATTAATAAACATGATAAACCTGCTCAAATTAGTAGAGGAACTCATCTACAATACTTAAATGACAATGGAATACCCTTCTCTGGCAAAAGTAAACAAAAAAGGGGATACAAATGAAGGATCATTTTGTATCTGTTTATTCAAAATAGTTAGGATAGATATACAGCTACTTTCTCTAAATTCAATGAATAGAAAGAGTTGTTCTAATAGTGTTTGTGGACAGGATATCATATTTGCATTGTGTACTATGAATAACCACTAAGAAGACAACAATATGCAATGTATTAACTATTGACACTGTCCTATTAATCGGTTTTGAAACTATCTCATTGCTATTTGTTTCTCAATAAAATTATTTAAAAAGAAAAGGAAGTCCTGATGTTACTACCATCGCTTTGACTACCAACTTTAGCAGTGGCCCAATGAACATAAAGCAGGTGGAGGCTGCAAGTTATCCTACAAGTTCTGTTGGGGACAGAGGGGCCTGGAAGATCTAATCCACACAGACGATGTCAACATCCGGGACCCAGCCACCTCCTGACCTGTTCCCTGGACCTTGCTGCCCTTGCTTCTGATTGCCATCTGC